TCAACATTTCACAATAAATATGAAAGAAAGGAAAGAAAGTTGACTTGGGACTGATATTTACAATAAATATGAAAATAATAATAATAAAAAAGTCACTTTGTAATCTGAAATAGAGCTGGTCGCTACGCATCCGGATATCCGCGCGGATGCGGATATCCGGCTGCTTTTTCAGGCCAAATGGCCATCCGCATCCGCATCCGCACCCGCTAGCGGGTATCCGTCGGCCGCAGCGGGTATCCGAGCGGGTATCCACGGATACCCGCCCTTTAAAGGGCCGGCGAGGCGGCTGGAAGGAAATCCTTCCAGCCGACGAGGTACATGTACCTCAAGGGCTGGAAGGATTTCCTTCCAGCCGCCTCGCCGGCCCTTTAAAGGGCGGGTATCCGTGGATACCCGCTCGGATACCCGCTGCGGCCGACGGATACCCGCTAGCGGGTGCGGATGCGGATGCGGATGGCCATTTGGCCTGAAAAAGCAGCCGGATATCCGCATCCGCGCGGATATCCGGATGCGTAGCGACCAGCTCTATTTCAGATTACCAAGTCACTTTTTTATTATTATTTTTTTCATATTTATTGTAAAATATCAGTCCCAAGTCACTTTTTTTCCATTCTTTCATATTTATTGTGAAATGTTGACAACAAATTGGAAGAATCCTACTGTGTTATTATATTTTCATATTTACTGAAAATATCATTCCCAAGTCACTGTTTTTCCTTTTGTCATATTTGTTGTAAGACATCTTAAACTAATTGGAAGAACCTTACTTCATTATTATTATTATTTTCATATTTATTGTAAAATATTACTCAAGTCACTTTTTTTGGCATTTTTTTCACATTTGTTGTCAAGTATCTACATCTAATGGGGAAGAATCTTGCCTTTTTCATATTTATTGTAAAACATCAATCCCAAGTCAATTTTTTCATTTGTTCACATTTAATAATTTATTTTAAAGCTTAAACTGTCTACAAATCATATCTAATTAGATTATTAGAAGAATCTTCATCGTTGTCCAAAACTATCACCTTCCTTTTTAATTTTTGGTTAGACTTCTTGTTATCCTTGAGTCCCTGTTTCCATGTAGCCAAGGTACCTTCTTGGAGTTCTTGGAGTAGAAGGCCACCGTCATTTTGGTAGGGAAGTGAGGGGGTACCTGTAGCGGTACCTAGGTACCTGTTCAATTTTTCACAAAAATAGGTACCAAGTACCGCACCTGGCACCTCCCAGCGGGTGCGGGGCGGGTGTGAAGGGTACCCCCCAAGCGGTACTAGGTACCTAGCAAAGGGTACCGCGGAACAATCTCTAGTAAGTTGAGATGTAAGTTTGAAGTCCTACTTGTCAAAAATAAGAATACAATGCTGTTCCAATAAGCTACTTAATTATGTGATGGGTTGAGTTTTTGATGGAGAAGACTTCAACTGAGCTGTCTTTTATGGCCAGAAGCCCAGAGCAGGAAAGCGAAGTCAATTGTTCAATGCGTTCATCGGTTGGATTCTATCGTAGTGCATTTTCCTCTTTACCTCGGTGACTATGTATTTTGTCTCCAAGTACACAAGATTGTTGAAGATAGCACATAATCTTAAATGTAGCATCCGACGTCCATGCCATATATTTACCGTAGCAACTGATGTTCATGACCGAGAACCGGGTTGAATGAATCCTCTTTCTTTGATCTCTGGGGGCTGGATCATCAACTGGAATGCGTTTGGGTTATTCAAGCCAAACCTCTCATTGTATTGTATGCATTTTTCTGTTTCTCTCTTCTCCCTGGCTACCCAGCGCGCAGTGTGACCTCTCTTAATACGTATGTCGGGTATGAAGAATTGATGAAGAAGGCCATGAATCAACCACGTCACCATGGCATGGTTGGTGAGATCCAGCTCCTTCCTTCAACGCAAGTACCCGACTTTGGGAGGCTTGGTACTCTAGGGGGACGTACTTCGTTTTGTGATTCATACGAATGACCCATTTCCTGTGAGGTTTGATGAGACTGTCTTGACATATCCACCTGATCAGGAGGAAGTATTGAGCTACCAATTGTCCCCACCGCAACGCTGAGAAGCTACTTGATCCATTTGTTGGCAAGATCAAAACCAGCTTGAAAGGATGGAAGCTGTTGTTCGTTGTTGGTGACACCAAAAGAGAAAAAAATCCTGGGTTTGGATCCTCAGAAGTTTGGTAACTCGGAAGAAAATCCAGACAAAATAGATACGTATTTGCATTGTTTATAAATATGTGGAAGCAGATGGGAAATGGAGGGACAAAGTTGTCTACAACAATGAATTTGAAGGGAGGGAATGTAGCCAGCTCCTGGTAAGGAGAATAACCATCCTGATTGTAAGCGATTTCAAAAAAAGATGAAACCGCTGACGTTGCGGATCACCAGCTGGAGGGCGAAAACAAAGGTCGTTCATCTTTGCAATGCTGGTAGGGACGACCGACCAGAGATCGACTCGATGAGGAGACGGTGGACCAGTCGTCTACAATAAAGCTGCATGAAATGAGTTGAAGAAAAGAAGAAAAGGGACGCGAGGGAGTCATAGATCAGGTTTATATAGTCTGTGCGAGGGGATGGGCGCTGCGGTGGGTTGCGCATTTCCGCATCCCCGCAGCATCCACATAAATTGCCCTCTATTGAAGCTTCATTGACGAGGAACACCATACCAAAGTCAAACAAGTCGAAATGGTCAGCAAATCTCAGACCTCAAGTCATCATGGATAACTATCCAAGTACTAATACGATATCTTTCTTCTTGTTTGCCAGAGTCATCACAAGAAGCCCATCAAAGCCACCGTCCCAAAAGCCCATCTCTACATTTCCGATGGCTACTTATCATCCGACAACAGTATTCCGATTCCTCCTAAAGACGAACCAGCACGACCACCCTCCAGGCAGATCCTACACCATCCATTCACCTCTCAGGTTTGCACTGTTTCAACTTTTTTCGATCACCAACAAAAAATCAGAATCAATCTTCATAAGTCGATTTATTTATTTGTTTTACGTTCTAGTTCAGATCAATCTCATCCTGAGTAACGCCGAAAAACCTGAATCGATCGACGGATCTGAACCGACAAGATGTCCGGAGATCTTGCAGCACTTGTCCGACCTGGGCAAATACCAACACTTCTCCAACCTCAATCTCGCCGATCTCTTGCTCGACGAATTCGTCCAGACCTATTTTCGATCAGGTCTGTCACTGCACCCATCCACAGCCTTCATCCTTATGAAAAAAAGAAAAAAAAAACTACTTGACGATTTCTGACCACCATCACCACCTTCTTCTGTCGATCACTCTCCCAGGCAGCTTGGTCGCAATCTCACTCCCAAAATTCACCGGGGACGACCTCTTCGCAATTGATGGTTACGGTATGCATCTCTAAGGTCGCTTTTTCCACCAATTCCCGTCTTGCTTGTCTTTGTTATTCGATTGCCAATCCTGACAGAGGCCTAAGCCTTTGGTACATCTCGAACAACAGGCACGATCCACATGAGACTTTCTCAATCCACATACCAAACACTAGGACTTTCTGGCAGACGTTCCAAATATGGTTTCTCCGGGTCAACATTTCGGGTACATATCTATATTCTACTCGGGGCTCCTGTTTCTCCGAAGATAATGATCCAGGCATTAATAGGGCTCTCCATTCTTATCCGAACCAGTTGTAGAGATCGATATGCGAGATCGGGCGATGCGATCTGGAAAAGCACTGTATGAGCGGACGAAGAGGTGTCTAGATAAATTCCCTGGAGACGTTTTTAACGACCTTTTGGGCCCCAAGCACGAAACTAGAGGCCGTCGTTGGGATGTTGTGATGGCCTGGGTTGATGAACAAGGTCATTGCGCGTCCTATGATCTTTATGATCTGTCTCTTCGAAAAAAAACTCATAAATATTGACCCTTCCTCGTCCTATACCCTCAAACTCAGGCAGCTTACAGCCCATTAACAGCTCCCTTCTCTCCCCTACAACAACATGTAAAACATGTGTTCCGGAGATAAACTGTCTGGAGAAACTCGTCCCTCATATCACCAAGCCAGACACGGTTGAGAGTTACCTGGATCTATACGAACAGATCGGCGAAGCCCTCCTATCTACGAGTGACAACCATCCCCATCCCAAGGGAGGAATAACGGCCAATTCGATCGAAGCCATTGGATTTTTTCATCCGACTAAGCTAGCCGAGTTAACCGAGAAGTTGATCAAGACATACCGGATCGTCAGCATTACCGGCCACACAGCCCGCTCGGCCCCGTTCTCATTCTTGACCTTGAAACAGACCAACAGAACCACTCATCAACCAGTCGATCCCTCTCCAGCGAAAAAGGCCAAGAAAGTCAAGAAGGGGAAAGGCGCCATGCTTGGGCCCGAGAGGGCTGTCGATGCTGGGCCGAGTAGCTGGACATTTGTTGCGCTCGAGGAAGCAGAAGAGGCCCCTGCTTGCTCCTCTGACCCGTCCACTGTACCCGATCCATCCCTTTCCGCTCTGGCAGTCTTGGCGAGCCCGCAGATCTCATTGGACGCCTCCACCGATTTGGTCGTCCGAAAACGGCACAGGCCCGACAATGATCCATCTTCTGATCTCACCGGTATCCCCAAACGACCTTGGATTATGTTCGAGTCTGTCGGGGCTCTTGACACACATTGCTAACTTATCGCCTCAAAATAAGATGATGAAACGGAAATTCTCGACACGCAATCATCATGATTCACTTAGTATTTGTGGTGTCTTCAGGTCTCTTGTTAACTTTCCTCTTGTTGATTTCTCAATGATAATTCCTTCATTCCTTTGACAAATCAACCTCGAAAGAATCTGTACAACATGGTAGCTTGTTTCTACATGTTGATGCGAGACTCAATTCTACTATGTGGTACACAATCAAGGATTCCGCCCAATAAAATAACAATGGGAAGGGTATTGAAGTCGATCCTGAGAGATAGTACACTACAAATTATCAATATACAAGTTGAGGAATGAGTGTTCTCTTCAGAATCAATTGTCTTTGTTTTTTGAAATGAAGTAAAAGAAAGAAATGTAGTTTGAGGTTTATCTGATGAATGGAATATAAGTCGAGGTAGTAGACCGATAATCGACATAAGCTTTACCGAAAAACTTGATCAGGTGAAGCTCTTCATCTAAAGAGAAGACGAGAAAAAGCTGAGTTAGTAAGTCAAAAGAGAGGGAGATTATATGAAGGAAGCTAAATTACTCTGGATGCGCGCCTTAAAGAAGCTCCACAAGACGAAGGAGAAGAGGACGAGCGAGCAGGGATTAGCCAAGAAGAGTTGGATGCCTATGGACCACCAAAAGAAGCCGAAGTAGGAGGGATGGCGGAGGAGACGATAGACGCCATGGGTGACCAGCCGATGGTCCTCCTGTTTCTTCGGGTCCGTCGACACCCGATGGTTGAACGATCGGGCCGCCGTGATCATCGCCATTGTTCGGATCCCTTGGCCCACCATCGTCACCAGCAAGCCGCCCAACCTCACTCGATCGTCCTTCAGAATCCCCAGGCCCCATCCGTCTTTTCCCAGATATCTCTCCCGCACCACGTATTCCGTTATGCTCATCATTTGCGCATACCAATATGAGGCCCCATTGTTTAATAAAAAAGCTTGCACAGATAAAAAGAAGAAAGAGAGAATCAGATTCTCGGTTTTTTTTCTTTTTTTTGGCCTGTGACCCCCAAGCTCGCGCTAAGATTTCTACCCCCGCTCCAAAAAAAAAAAAAAGAAAAAGAAAAAGAAAAAAGAAAAGAGAGAAGAGAGCTTACAATCGACGGAGACTCTGGAGGGATTAAAGATGGCAGTAGTGAGGAACTCGAGGAGATGAAAGAGGATGAGGAGGATCGCGTAGATGTTCAAGGGCGGCCACAGCGCCTGCTTGGCGGGAGAATAGAGGAAGAAGAAGAGGAGCGAGAGGAGGTTGGAGGCGAAGAAGAGGCCGAGGAGGAAGCTGATACAGCAGACGTTCTGGATGGTGTTTTCGAAGGAGATGAGAGGCCAGGAGATCCGTTCTTCTTGTTCATGTTCATGTTGATGGTGAGGGGAGGAGGAGGGGGAGGGGGAGGGGTCAGGTGTTTCTGGGGTCTGTTCGCCGTCGGCCCACATCGGTCGGTGGCGTCGGAACGCTTGAAGGTCTTCCGTAACCGCTGCTACCATCGGGTCTCGATCAAGTATTCAAGTAGTCTGCCGGTCGAGAAACTCGGTCCCCCCTGAGAAAGTGCACAAAATGTCTGCTGTTGATGGATGGTCTTGCGAGAAGCTCGTTGCAGGGCGGGGTGGATCTCGCAATGGTCGAGCGTTTTTGGTTTTCTTTTCTTGGCGGAGAGAGGCTGGTGGGTATGTCTGGTGGTCGGCTGATGAGTCGAGTGGTATTGTGTGTGTAGAGAAGAGAGAGGAATGAATGAGAGCCGGTGACGAAATCAGATGTAGCTACAATCCCTTCAAAAGGCGGAATGTTTGTATGCAAATTGTCATGGTAGGGTTATTAATGCTGGATATGGCAAGCTTGAAAGGTACATGCAGGGCTTCTTTGTTCTTCCTCTTCAGCTTGTCTTTGAATTCATTCTCTCTCTTCTCTCACTCACTTCAAAACAAAAACAAAAACAAAACAAAAATGCAACAGAAAATTCAGAAAGAACAAAGACAAAAAAAACAGACAAGCAACAATAGAGGAAGGATGCATTAGGACGGTTCACGTCTGAACTTTGAGGCAAATTTAATGACATTTATCATTAAAATTTTGCAAATTTACCAAAAATCTCAAATTCCTCCAAACTTGATGCTTCATGAAATTTTAGAAAATTCATAAAATTTTATCTACAAGTGTGTTAAAAGTTGCCTTGAACTTCAGACGTGAACCGGCCTATTGCCCAAACAGAACAGCAAAAAGAATTGGCCATCCTCAAGACCAATATTCGCGCCCAGAGAACATTAACAACACTTCACCCAGTTGCCCTACAATGCTCATATTAAACATGATCACACCAACCGGTCCAAGAACTTGCGGTTTCAAGTGAACACCAACAGGAAATCGTTTGCATATTATTTTCATACATAAACAGCTTCTCAAGTCAAGCATAGCAGAAATACAAGATTAGGTGGAGGTAAGTTTTAACCAGTAGGTTTACAATTAATTTTACATGTGCCATTGGCATAACTATATAAAAAGAAAGAAGAAGTGATGATGCTTATAACAACAACAACATACAGATAAATACTTATACATTTCTTGCACTTTCAAATGACGATAATGAACATAATGATGACAGATTTGATTCTTTGAATACAGATGCCACGCGGCTTATTTATGTAGAGAACTGATGCAACAAGGAAACATTTTAAAGGATGATGAATCGGGTACCAGACTATGTAGTTTTAATCATGGAGTAAATAATGAGTAGTAGTAGTAGTAGTAGTAGTTTTTTTTTTTTATCTCTGAAAAGTTGTACCCTGAAGAAAAAGAGAGAAAATAAAAGTTAAGAACTTCTTTATTCATGCTTGATCAGGATATTCTTAGACTAGTAGAAGACTTCCACATGGGATAAGAAACGGAATAGAGTTGGTTTATCAATCACTGAAAGAAAAGAAAACAAATCAACAAGGAATCTTTTGTCAGTGTTCATGATTCTTCAAGTAGCTTTCGAGCCAAATGAAGAGTGAGCTCTAGCGTAGATTTATAGCGGGAAATTGAGGTGACTAACAGGATGAGACAATTGCGACATTGACCTGACACCAAGCAAAAAAAAAAAGAGCTTGTGAGACACACGAAAAGGACGAAATAAAAGAGACAGAGTTGCAGGCATACCATGAGATGTAAGATATTCAATGAATCACTGTTCTCGATCTTCCACCCGAACAAGCTTTCGAGAGCGATTTGAAGGATGTTAGTCCATTTCTCAACCACCTCGATCTCACCAGGATCCTCTGCCTTGGTGCTACCTCCCTCGGAAAGATGAACAGAATGCGACAGTAACGACATCAAATGGTAGAACGGTCGTTCGGGAGATTTGATCGAACTTGTCGACTGTACTCCTCACAAAAATTCAGACACATTGAGTTCACTTCACTTTGATCATTCAAATCAAATTTACTCACATGGGGCGCACAGAGCTTTAGTATCAATCTGACTGTTTTCATAATATCGTGCGATGTTTCATTCTCTTTAGTGCCCAAGATCTGTTTTTTAGCCAAGTCACACACGAAGTCAGTTCTTTCTTCTTGAAGCTTTTTTTAATTACCGAGACGGGTTTGGAAGTATACCTTGGAATGAAGTTCTGCAGAAGATGTCAAGACAACAGAGCAAGGTCGAATTCCAATCTTAGTACCATGTCGATGTCGGACGATGAAATGAGCAGCAGTGAGGTTACGGGTCTCGATGAAGCAATGATTCAAAGTCTTGCCATCCGTACTTTGGTAGAGTGAGAAGAAGTCTCAGTTGACCGGCCCCGCATCGAAATGAGAGGCGAAATCTGAAGAGGACGCTTACGGTGTACAAAGAATGTGAATAGGTAATGGACAAAGCTCAGGTGGGGGGAGACATTCGACCCCTCCTGGTAGCCATGATACTATGTCAGCGACCGTAAGACTCCACGAAATGTTATCAACTGGTCCAATCACGAAAACAAAGGGTTAGGACGCGCTCTGAATTTATATCATTCAAGGTTTCGAGTCATTGGAAAAGGAAAAACCGTACCGCGAACGATGGGCCAGGGACAAGGATTTCCTGGGCCGCTTTGAAGAGGTATATTGGAATCGTCGCTCATGAACGTCGAAACCAGCTTGTCGGTTTCATTGATCAGTTGTGGGTTGGGGCTCCACACGGAGCTGAAAGACCCGGTACAAAGTCCAGATTGATCGCTTGGTGGTGACGCATTGTAGTTAACAGATTCTATGAAAAAAAATAGAACAAAATTAGCAACGTGCGTTTGCTTGTCTGCTGTAATGTGCGTCATCTAATTTCCGTGTAAGCATTCCAGGGCACTGACCAAATCTATCCAAGCCGGAACTGAAGAACTTCTGATTGCCCCGAAAAGGTGGCAAGCCGGTTGAATGATTAACGCGACCGAAGAGGGTATTATGAGCACTCAAGAACGCGCTAGGAGGATCAAAACCGTCGACGTGTTGGCTACAAAAGAAGCAGACCATCTGGGGAGGAGGAGGGTCATTACAGGAGGCATTGATGAGAGTGTTTATACAAGTGTTACAGTGCGGATGACAGCAAGGCCATAGGCGAGAGAGTTCGATCTGCGGTTTGGTGACTCCGCAAGATGAACAAGAGATCACTCTTTGGGGGTTTTCGGTCTCAGGAATCTGCTGTTGTTGTTGAATTGTAAGAGAAGGGTTTTTTAAGATTGCTTGTCCGGTCTCAGTTCGATCAAAGCTTGATAACTCTAGGGGCTTTTGTCGATCGGTTTGTAACTCTAACCAATCCAAGCCATGGAATTGATCGAAATATTGGTCGTCTGAACTGACTGGATAATCTTGTAAATAATCTAGTATTCCGAGTTGATCTAAATCTTTGTAGAAATCTTCTTGAGGACTTGGAACAGGTTCTAGAGTTTCGTCTGTCATTCGGTTATCACAGTTATTATGAGTGGTGTTCGATTTTAAATCACTCTCAGATATCTTCTAGATTTGATCATAAGTCAGAATTCAGCAAAAAAAATCAACAAACTCATCCGCAGAATAATGAATAAATAAACATTCTGAACTCTAGGGAATTAGGAGGAAACTCCGACGTACCAAAGTATTATTATTTTTTCCCTGACTGAATGATTCCGGTTGTCTCAAGATGCCAGAAGCTGGCTGCTGGAAAGCTAAAAAAAAGCGAATGGGAAGAACGAAAGAAGAAGACAAAAAAAAAGGGTTAGCAATTGGAAGAGAAGAATAATGATAATTAGAGAAGCGTGGATAAGTTGATATCAATCAGGAGAAGAAATACTGACAGTCTCGTTGTTTGAGAAGTGAGCAGGTATCGAAAGAGGCTCGATCTTGGTGGTTTAAACTCTCAGCTGGAGGAGTATTAGTGCGGTCAGGATGATTGTAGAAGTAGGCCTGAGGAATGAGGTGATCGGTGAGCCTATGGGATAGACTATGATCATGATCACTGACGGAGGTAAAGAGAGAGTAATCTGAGGGTAATGCAGGCATGGTCGTCGGTTTGAGATGTGGTGTGGTTTTTTGTTTTTTTGAGGAAAAGGCTCTTTTGTGTGGTTCTATTTTTAAGAAAAAATGGTAGTGTTGACTATGCAATGGAAGGACTCTTTTTTAGGAGATTTTAGTCGGGTGGTTCAGTGAGAGCTCCAAGAAAGTGCTGGATGCTTTATAATGAGGGGATGAAGAGAATGTTCTGGTAGAGAGCACGAGGAGAAGAGAAGAGAATGGCGGAAGAAGGAATCGGCTATTTATGGTCTGCCGAGAGTCTGTTGCTGGCCTGCTGAGCAGATGATGCCGACACTTGGATGAGTAAGATCCAATATCGGCATCCGGGTGATCAACCCCTCAGTTGAACTTTTAAAGGGGGGATCAATCATTCTTTCTGTTTTTTTTTTTGGGAGAGATCTCCGAGCTAATTGAAGATTTCGGGTGGAGAATAGCATGGGCCGGCTTGATGGTTGACAAAGCCGTATGTAGATAAGCCAAACGAAAGAAAGAAAGACAGTTGGCTTAATATTCCGTTTGAGAGAAGCCCGAGAAAAGGGTGAGCCATGTCGTTCGTTATTGCTTGGCTTGGATGGAAGATCGGGCGGAAGTTGTTGATGTAGGGGAGATGAAGAAGAAGCCGATGAAATTAGTGAAGCAAAGTCGAAAACTCTCTGGCCCATCACCGCCCAGTTCATTACTTCATCGGCGAACCCTCGTCTCTCAAATCATCATCATCATCAATTCATGCCTGCAGAGACAAGAGAACAGACCCTAGACAGAGTGGAATATACCATTGGACGCGGAGAGAGGGGAAGAGGAGGAGCAAAGGCTGGGTAAAAGATTGTATAGACCGATTTCACAGACTGTGCCCATCTCCTAAAATCCCGGCCACTGGCACTGGCAGCTCACCGGCAACTTTGAACTCCCCCGCCGACCAACGCTTTGGTCAAGCCAATCAAACTTCAATTGCCCATCAACCAACCACCCCATCCGAGCCACTCCACAACACACAAACCTCATCACATTCACATCCCAAACTCACAGCCTCCAAACTCAAACATCCTCGTAACTTCAGTCCGGTCAGCTTAAGATTAGATTAGATTCGATTCGATTCGATTCAAATATAATCAGAGAAGTATTGTTGTACAACTTCCTGTCTTTTTTTCCAGGGTTCAGTCTTCCCGGCATCATCCTTTCTCTCTCTCTCTCTCTCTCTCTCTCTCTCTCTCTCTCTCTCTCTCTCTTGTTCTCCTCCCTATTTATTATTATGTAAAAAAAGATCTTCGATTTCATTATAAACATCTCCCCCACATTGCACAAACACACACACACAATCCGGGAAGGTTGAAAATGAGACTCGCTGGTTTTGTTTGTCAAAGAACTCAGTTGGATTTCGATCGGATTACGATTACATCGACCACACGGCCAGAGCAGAGCGGATGAGAGAAGTTCATTGGCGTCCCTCGGCCCGATCATCGTCCTCTTGATTAAGCTCCATGCTCATCATCTGCCGTGTCTGAATAAAAAAAAACCCCTTTGTCTGCTGATCTCGGCCTTTTTTTACCCCTCTACATCTCATCATCATCCCGCCAGTATTGACACCAGCACTGCCACCGACATCCTAGAAGTCCGTCCATATAGCCGGTCCGCCTTTGGTTTCATATATTCATGGAGGCCAGAGCTTCGGCTTCATTTATGAACACTCTTCAGCGATTCAAGCCTTGACATATTCGTCGGTCTTGAGCCACCAATCTCTCTTAACTTATAACGTGATCATCCCCTCGGCATTCTTCAGGATGGTAATCACATCTTCTCAAATCTGTCTCGCCATATAACGACGGATCAAGATCATCGTTGCAAAAATGCCCTTGCAATCATCATCATCATCAGTTAGATTCTTCAGGCTCCAAACTGCTCTGCTCATAGGCTTTTGTCGCTTTTTTTTGTACACACTGGTTCTGAGAAGGATTAAACCAGAAAAAAAAAGTTGCGTGTGCCGGCGGGTTTATTTTGTCACTTGAAGATTGCCTTGAAGATGGCCACACGACGAGAAAGATCTCGTATCTCACTTGAAGTTTAACAGGGCTTGGTATTCTTAACCTGGCTTGTATATAGTGTAAGTTACCATTACGAACTTGAGGGGGTTCAAAGTTATGTGTAAATCATACATCTCGATTTATTTGTTACATCTATCCATGCAGTCATGTATTTTGCAACTTTGAGCTGGTGTTCAACTTTCATCTTATTTTTAGTCGTGTATGTATTTATCTTTCAAAGATAAAGATATGTAAGCTGGGCCTTCAATGACATCACCATCATCATCATCGTCATCAGCTATGTACCATAAACTATGCCAGTGCTCTTGGGAAAAAGCTTTAATGTGTGGTGCCAAGCTGGTTTGTTCCGGATTATTCCTGTGCAAATCAAAAAACAAAATCAATTCAATTTCCAGTGATGTCCAAAATTAAAATCCATCGCCTCTCATCAGCTTCGAGGGCGGAACTTGAATAATCAACGGAGAATCAAACAATTCTGACATACACATAGGTTTACATAGTATCACGGCAACAAGGTCATACAAATTTATACACTGGGATTGATCAGGCTTCATTGCAATATCTACATACACACAGCTGCTTGTGCCTTTTTTTTCTCAGCTTTTTACTATCAATTCAAGTTACCTTCACATCGTCAAGCTAACTTATCATCATTCTTGGGATGGGATCACAATTTTTGGTTATTTTTTTTCTATAGATTGGTTGAAAATTGAAACAATCAAATAATAAAAACATGGTCACATTATAAACTGGTGAAATTTCAGACTGAGTAAATTCCTTTGAATATAATTTACTCAGTCAACTTTTTTTTTCCCCGTCAAAACAAAGCAAAACAATGTAGGGAAAGTCTCTTATCATGATACCAACAGGGGGGGGGGGAAATGGCTCAAAAAACAAAGAAAGAAAGAAACACTAGAAAGGAACATGATTGAAAAAAAAGTAAAAAAACTGGAGTTTTCCAGGACATGAAAAAAGAAAAGTGCTTTGTCAAGCTATATATATATGACTTGTCACACTTTCTTTGTTGGATTTGTTTTTTGAATTTCCATTCATAAAAGAAAGAAGGAAAAACCTTCAAGTGGTGGCACAGTTTCTTGAAATTGTAAAATTCAAGTTGTTTCAGTTTCCTGTTAAACTGTCACTTATTAATGCAGGCTTGATAGCTCAGGCTTAATTGGACACATACCTCAGGGATGGGAATAACAAGGGTAATAACGAAAAGCAGACATTTCCTCCATTAATTTATCTGGGATGATACGATCTCGCACCTTGGCCGGTTATCATTGATGATCAGTTGTCGGCCCTTGAGAGTCTGCGCCCAGCGAAACTTTTAGGGGCTAGACGCCGAGCCTGGCTGAGGTTCAGAGTATTGCGGGGGCTCAGGAATGCAGAGGATGTCGAGCGCTGGCTGTGGACCCCGAAAGCCGGTCAAGATATATGCGAAGTCTATACATATCTATACCGCCCGAAACAGAATTCACGGTCTCCTTGCCAGGTGGCAACTTAAGGCTATGGTGACAACACACCGCCTTCTTCAGTAGACAAGGAGCCAAGAGGCAGATGCGTGTTGCTTGGTGGCCCCGTGTGGGGATCGAATCGTTGCTTCAGTAACGCCACCTTCGACCCTTGACGATCAATGGTTCTGCTCGAGTAATACCTAACCCAACCCACTACAAACTGAAACCTATCTTTGGCTCCTTGTGCTGCCACATGCCCGCTAGGCTTAACTAGTTTTTTTCGTTTTTTTTTTCCAGCCGTCATTCTGCATTTTGAGGCATGGTATACATAGCGTGATCGCTTGCCGGAATAGCAAAACAAACACTGCATCTATCCGAACTTCTTGGGACAACTATAGGTGTTAAAAGTGATTCGAAAGGCACGAAGTGATTTTTTCTTCAGGAAGAGCTATGTATTCAGTATATAGTCAGCTACAGACCTGCTCAACCGACTTCCAAGTGATCTGAAACACATCCCCAGAGCTTCTGACTATCTCTGATCCTGTAAACCAAAAAAAAAAAAGTAGTCTCAATAGTTTTCTTCTGTATTTCAGCGACTCGGTTGCTGACTACAAACTTGACTCCCTATGGCACATGACTATCAAAAAGAGGGCCGCGAACAGTTCAACCTTCGTCCGATTCAGCGACGCCGTCCTTGTTGATAGTTCTACGGGCACCGAGAGTATCGAAGCGACACTCAAATCTATTCACTCCCTAACATTTACCAGATTACTGTGACTACAAACCTTCCTTCAAACTTCAAAGGGATTCACTTCTCTTTTACCTGCCATTTTTTCCTGCTCCCGACCTCACTTCTCAATCCGTTTCGTTTTTTTTTTTTTTCTTGTCTATTTCTTGCTTGCGTGTTTTTTTTTTCTCTTTCTTCTTTGTGATCCCCAAGCCGGAGGACATGCTGTTTTGGTCTAGTCACTTGATCGACTCAGGTCCCCTCTTCCGCTTGTCTTGCTTTTCTTTGTGAATGATTTTAACGCCGATATTCTCTCCTCTGACGCCCCAATCCTTCTTCCGATGAGCGTCTCATTGCCATCATACCAACCCCCGCCGTCCCATCTAACAGTCGATCGCCATGGACTTCTGGTAAGTTAAGCTCATTTTCGAGAGTTTGTTCAATGTTTCCTCACCGGCATTTACATTTCTTTCCATATGGTCCCTTCCAGATCGTTGCAGGCGCTGCTAGTGTGGGTTCAGATTTTTTTTTTTTTTCTACTGCGAGAATTGATGGACTTGGGGAAACTGGGGGCTAACCTAGCAAAAATAAAATAAAAGATATCCCTTTTCGCAACTCTTTTTCTCCTACTCTATGTAACTATCCTGTCAATAGTCTCCAAGAGGCCCGGTTGTACGTGGGCTTCTCTCCGGCTGGTCTTCATGCAAACCTCTTTCGGGGTCAGTCCGACTCTACTTACCACTAAACATCCCACAAGGAAAAGTTCTGATAAGCTTTCACATTTACCGCGGAACCTAGCCGATCTTCCTCAACCTCGTTTTTGCTGATATGCTCCTGGCAATTGGACTCATGCACAATTGTTAGTTCACCGCTGTTTTTTTCATTAAATAACTCTTACAATGTCAGCGTGACCAGACGGCTAAAACCACTTGAAATCATCGACAGTTATCAATTTCCATGAACATGGGCCAGTTACAGCCTCAATAACTTGCACCTCACAAGGCGTTTTGATTCAATTGGCCGACGTAGCATCCGCTCTACTCGTAAGGACTTTTTCCTTTGGTAGCAAAGAATATTCACTCACAACCCTCATTCTTGATGCGATGTTATATTAGAATTTGCTCATAGCTATCGAAACATTCATAATTCTTTCAAACGGGCCCATGCTAAGCTGGTATACGCAGTTTTCAACCGTTGGGATTTGGATGCTCTCTTGCTGTTTTGCTGTCCTAGGCTTCCTCAGCTTCTCTAGTCTTGAACTGCACTCTTTCTGTAAGCATCGAGTGCTCCTTCCTCGGTGGCTAGTCAACCTGGAGTGACTCAAACTTATATACTTCGACTAACTACTTTTCATTCTGCTTTTTCTTCATATAGACAATTGGAATGGAGCTTGGTGCTGGATCAGTCCTGATTATTTGACCTATCAAATCACTTTTCATAGTGAGTTTTGAAAGTCAAAATGGAAACGTTAAAACTTGGACCAGAAACTCAAATGGAACCCCTACATGTTTTTTCCCACCTTTGCCCATCTGAATCTGACCTGCCTGCCCAAGACGTATGGATCTGGTTAGCCGCCACGGGACTCATTGCGCTATATGGAACTCTCTTCACCAGAATACGGACTCACTACAAAGGAGAGGGACACATTCTACGGCGGTCTTCCATCGTAATCCCAGCACCCAGCACACCTTCAACGATGAGCAGCATGTCCGGTTCGCTTTCAAACCTGAGCAAAGCCGCCAAGCGCCAAAAAGTTGGAAACAAAGGCCTCCGCGTGGTTGCCCGAACAATGCTGGTGTATCCTATTAGCTTCGTGGCATATTCTATCCCGCTCACAGTCATCTCACTGATCGAGAATTATCGACGTTCAACATTAAATCCGGTCGTCGCTCTCGTGCTCAGTACTCTTTTTGCTCTACGTGGTGCGATCGATGTCTTGGCTTTTGGAGTAAGCATTTATTTATATTTTTGCTCAACTTGTAATCCTTGACTTGGAGCATAGAAAACCGACAAATTACTGACATTGGTCTATCAAACAGATGACGCGAAATGTATTCATCTTGAGGACACCACCGACTCCAGTATACGATGAGGAACAATTAACTCCCACCTCCCCCAACAGCATCCACAAAACAAGACAAATTTCGTTAGATCTTGACAAAATACAAGAGATAAAAGAGTCCAGAGACCCAAACCACTCGCAGCGCTCACATGAATCAGTTGACGTCAAGTTTTATCACAGCTAAACCGACACAAAATCGCAGTAGACAGAGGATCTGTCTCTTCCCTCCGGAAAAGCAATCCGTTGGAAGTCCATTCGCCCCGGGATCACCTCGCAATCTGAATTTCTGAAAAGCCAAAGAAGAAAGAAAAAAAAATAAATCCGGCAAATTCCTTCAAATCTTACTGGAAATAAAAATCAGGGTTCAAGTCAAAGCGCCAACCGAAGGACAATTTGATTTGCTTGTCTATGTACGCCCTGGTGGATCCTATCTTTCATCGTAGGCGAGCAGACAAGTGTCGCACCTCGCTTTGACAAAACGCACTCCCTCTCAACCCCTACTCTCTACCCCCAAAAATATCATAAACCTCGCAGGCTTGATTTCCTTGTGCAAAAAACAGCCAATTGTGATTATCAGAATCGTTCGTATATCCCCTCATTTCAATCTTCTCCTCGTGGTGTTGAAACACTTATATAAAGAACATAAACATACATCAAAACTAAGATAAACAAATGAAAACCCTGAAAGATTGTAGAATGTTGTGATAATTTGTCTAAATGCACAAAAATATTGGTTGGAGTTGTAATGTAGGTAGTAGTACAACTTACCCCCTTCGTTTTGTTAATCGCATATAGAGTCTCCTTCCGTATATAAGCAAATACGCATGTATAT